AATTAAATTAAATAAATATTTTTACTAAAATAATAAAATAGGAATTGGTGTTAAATATATTAATTGATTTGAATGATTTTTAAAGTAAAAGTTTAATTAAATCACATTGCAATTTTTTGTAAATAAACTTTAGAAAAAAAACTCGATATAATAAAAATTGTAATTAAACTTCAAACATCATGATAATGTGTTAACAATCCCCCAGACTTGTGAAAAAAATTATACATAAATTAATTAGATTAAAATTAAAAATTAAATTATATATTATAAAATTTTTAAAATAAATATGTAGATATGTGACCTCATAATCGAAATCAACTTCTCTATATTTTTGCAAATGTTTGTCTTTCAAGTCTTTTATATTGTTTTTGATCCAGTAATATCAATAGAAATTATATGATAAGAAAATTAATAATAAGACAATTTAAATTAATAATTAAAACCAACAATAAAAAAAAAATAACTTGTATTAAATAAACAAAATTTAATTATTTATTACTTTATTATTTATATTTCAACCAACTTTGTACACACATAAGTGTCTCTAAAGTAATTTTATGGAGCCTAAAACGATGAGAATTTAAAAATCTATCTTTTGTGCTAAATGTAGATTATGAAGCTACAGTTAAAATTAAGATTATCAAAACATCTTTAACAATTTTTCGCAAAATTAGATACTTGATTCCATTTATTTTTCACCATTAAAAAATGTCAAAAGAAACACTCATAAGTAAAAAAAATTTCTTGAAAGGAAAAATCAATTTTAGACTTTGTTTGCATTTAAATTATATTATTTACAAATGAGTAATAATAACTAAAACAAATTGTTAATATTTAGATTATCCAAGTTTGATTAATTAACATTTATTCAAGAAATTGAATTTTTCACTGTTTCTTAGCTTTAGTTTGATATTTTTCAAACAATGGGTAACATAATTTCTTAATATTATTAAATTTAATTGAAGATAAGCCACCATAAAACTTAGGAAAAAAGTATTCCAACAACTTTAATTTGTATATTGAATCTAAAATAATAATAATAATATTATATTAATTAATATATATTTTATATATAAATAATTTATTTGTTAACTATTTTTCTACTTCTTTCGTAACAATCTTCTTACAAAAACTAAGTTGATCCTACATCATAAACAACAAATTTAAAACAGGCTAGTAATAAATAAATTTATATATAAAAGGTTATTGAGAAAATATTTATATTTGATGATCATTTGATACCTTTAATGGTTTTCCATATTTCTTTGTCAAACAAGTCCATGTTTGAAACTCAATTATGAATTATTAAGAAAAAATCATTCAAGCTGTGACATACATAAACTCCATAATTGTCATAACCTAAAATTTTAAAAAACATTATAATAATCATTTTATTGACAAACATGAAAAGAATAAAATTATTTATAAATACATTTTTTAATCAAACAAATAGGAAAACACTTACAATGTACACAGTTAAAGAATATATACATAAATAAAGAAAAACCACATTGAATATGAGTTCTTTAATATTAGTTATCTATTTTTTCAAACACATGAAATCATCGTATGATTATCAACTAGGCATTGTATAATACTTTCTATTATTTTCAAGAAAATAGAAGTTAAGTGAGTAGATAAATAAATAAAAAAATAGACAATGAATAATAAAAAAATTCCAGGATTATCTAATTTAAATATTTTTTAATATATTTAGTTTATTTTAAAATTTAATTCTAATTATTTATGAATTTATTTACAAAACAAAATATTTTCTTTTTATTATAATTTCATTTAAGATTTTAAATAAATTTTATTTTTAAAAATTAAGAAAGGTTAAAAAAACTAAAAAATAAGTGTTACTAAAAAAGACTACAATAATCTTAATTTTTACACATATTTAGTAGATGTATTTAAGCATATTTATTTATTTGTAAAAAGAAAACATATTGACTTATGAACTATTGCGACGATTTAGTCACAGAAAAATTGAGTAAAAATATAAATTTGAAATTTATTATTCTCATTATAAAAACAAAAACATAATGGTTAATAAATTGTAATTATAATTATGATTATAAATATTAATTTATAAGAATTATTTTAAAGATGTTCCTAACGAAATGAAAAAATATTTGTCTTGCACACGGGTCACCGGTCAGGTCCCAGGCTAGTATTTTAAGCCCGAGAACTTTCTTTGGTTTGGGGCTTACGAAATTAAACTCTGGAACCGACGTCGTTTACGGTGATACATATTAAAGCAAAATAAAAACCCATTTTCTTTCTCCTGTTCTTTCTTTCTTTCTTTCTTCCTTTCTACTTCACTTCCGCGACGACGATCCAAGTGATGGATACTGTAGGCGAAACCCAGCGAACTCTGTATGTACTCTCGCTCTCTCTCCCTCTTCCTCCATTTCTTCCTTAATGCTCATTTTTTTCGAATTTAGGGTTTTAGTGATTAATTTGTTTTTACTCTTAAATGCACATTCCCTATTTTCTTTCCGTTGCCCTAATTTGTGTTTTCACCCTTAGGTACCCATACGTGACTGGATCCTCTGTAGTTGCTATCAAATACAAAGATGGGATTCTTATGGCCGCTGATATGGGAGGTCTCATATTTAATTCGCCTTTTATCTGATTATTGCGGAAATTGCTTTCCCACAGTTTTTTTTTTAGAAATAATAAAATTATGGAGAAATAAATTTTGACTCTTTAGTAGCGATGGTTTTAATTGTTTTCTGATTCATATACGTGCCATCTCTGCAAAGTTCATCGTAGTGTTTTTAAGCATTGTAATAACATAATGAGGGATGTGATGATAGGTTCATATGGATCTACCCTGCGGTACAAGAGTGTCGAGCGTATCAAGCCTGTTGGAAAACATTCTCTTCTTGGTGCTAGCGGGGAGATAAGTGACTTTCAGGAGATTCTGCGCTACCTTGATGAGCTTATGTGAGTATTTTTTCCTTTTAATAATAATAAGTGTTGCTCAGTAGCGCTGGTTATCTCAAGTTAGTTCAGGGAAGAATGGTGTGATGAGTTAAATGGCATGCATCTGCTTTGTTTTCCTTGTTTTGTTTGTTTCAGTTGTTTATTTATGTTGTTTTGAACACAGTAAAGACTCCATGTGTGTATTTTTTATCCTTAATCTTTTCAACACTACAACTTTAAAATTTCCATCTAACTGTTTGGTTTTGAGTTTTGATTGTGCAGTCTTTATGACAACATGTGGGATGATGGGAATTCTCTAGGACCGAAGGAGGTGCACAATTATTTAACCCGTGTTATGTATAATAGACGTAACAAGTTCAACCCATTGTGGAATGCTCTTGTACTTGGTGGGGTGAAAAATGGGGAGAAATACCTTGGCATGGTATGCCTTTGTCTTGGTCATTTTTCCAGTTTCAAGATTGATATACCTGCAATCTTCGTTTAATTATTAAAATATGTGTATCTTATTCAGGTTAACATGATTGGTATTAATTTTGAGGACAACCATGTAGCAACTGGTCTTGGAAATCATCTTGCTAGGCCAATTCTCCGAGACGAGTGGCATGAGAACTTGACCTTCGAAGAAGGTGTCAAGTTACTAGAAAAATGCATGCGTGTGCTTTTATACCGTGACAGGTCTGCTGTCAACAAAATTCAGGTTTAATACTGTTCCATTTCTTGCTTTCTCTACTCTAATATGCTCTCCTCTCCCCCTCCCCATTTTCCATTTATCAAAACATATTGTTAGAATTGTATTAATGAGAATGAACAAGAACAGTCTTTGCTCAAGGAAGGTGCAGGCTGCTATCATACAATGCCAGATGTATTTAAGAGATCCTGGCTTCTCTCCTATGCAAGCTCTAACTGACCAAGATGATTATTTCTAATCATATAACAACCATCCCTCAAAACTGCCTCCTGACTGCTATCTCTAACTGACACCTAATCATGAGCTAACTGACTATGTCCCAGCTTTGGCCTCTTCACATTATCTGGCCCACTTCCTTTTCCTCCTCCCTCCCCCAAATCCCCCAACCTTTCACCTTGTCCTCAAGATGAAAATTGGGAAAAAGAGTCTCTGCACAAGTCATAAAGAACAAGTTGCTTCTATGAGTCTTCACATTCTGGTAGACCTTGCCATCTGATCAATGCTTCACCCTCCACTTCATTGTTGTACCTCAATCTTAAGATGTCCTGTGGATGAGGATGTAATTCTCTCACTCTTCATTAATGCTGCTAGTAGGGTTGCAGTCGGGTTGAACCTAACATAGCTTTCTTCAAAAGGCATACAGGGAATACTAGATGGATTCTGCTATAGTATGGAAGCTGCAAACGATAACTACTGTACCCACCTTCTCTAGGATTTGGTAAAGCCCATAAAATAGTGGGTTAACTTTTCATTATGTTTTCTAGTCAATGATTTCAACCTATAAGGATGTGATTTCAACCATTGCTGTGCTCTGCTCTCACCTAGTTCTGCTTTAATTGCTGCAACTGCAAGATGTCATTTCTGACCTTTGTAAGTTGATTAAACTCTTATAGTTTAGAGGCAGAAGTGTCACCTTGAAAAAGAAGAGGTGGATCTCTACCATTTAACACCTGAAAAGGTGTCATTTTTGCTGGGCTATTATACCTGGTGTTGAACCAATATCACATGTCCTAGGTGGATATTTTACGTGTGCAGCCTCAAACATACATATATTTATATTATTAACCATCAATTTATGTTGTTGCAGAAGCTGAAAAACTTATTTTAAGTACCGAGCATGGATCTGGATTGTATATCAAAGTAGTCAGAAAACACTAGTTTTTTTTTTGTTTTTTGTTTTTTTTGGTAAGAACAGGTTTAGTACCTCATTCATAAGGGACTCAAAAGTGGAAGGGGCATTACTGAGTCCAAAAGGCATCACTAAAATTCATAATGCCCTTCATTTTTGCAAAAAAGGTGTCTTTTTTTTATGTCTTCCTCCTTCATTCTAATACGGTGCTATTCATATTATGGATCAAGTTTGGAGGAAATTGTTGTTCCTATTAACTCATCCAATAGTTCATACAGTATGAGAAATTTGTAGGGAATAGTTATCCTGTTCAATTCTCTGTAGTCAACACAAAATCTCCAACTTCAATCTTTTTTCTTTACTAAAACTATAAGTGAAATATGATAATATTGTCCTTCATTTACAGCTGCTAATTATTCCCCTTTGCTCAGCACTAGCATGCCCATAGACCAGAGGCCAGGGGCTATATTCAGGATAATATTCTTTTCAAATTCCCATATTTTGTGTTCATCTTTTAAGATTTTGCTTAAGATTTTGATTGATTTTAGATTATGTATGAAATTTGTGATGGAGGCGTGTGTAATTGAATGTTGATGTGTCCAATCTGTAGAGTGTTGGACTGTTGGTGGTCATTATTATGATAGGCAATCACTGTTGCCTTTGTTACTGTTATTGAATGCCAAACTGTATATATGTTGTAGGGATTTTGATCCTCTGCAGTTTTTAGAAAAAACTGCATGAATCTCATCCACTGATTTTATTTTATTATAAAATAAATTAATATTTAAAATTAAATTTTATTAATTCTAAGGGTCAGATATGGACTGCACATGGTGCAGTTCTTCAGGGGCTGTAGAGGATTGGAATCCATGTTGTAAATGTTAAATCGGATGAAAACTGAACCTTTATTGCACCCTTTCTGTCGTTTGAGTATTGAGGCTTGGATCTAAATGACTTTGCTTCCTGACTTCCTCCTCTTGTTGGATTCTTATTATGAAAAATGCTAATAACACGTTCTCTAACACTATTATTTTGGCTAAAATTGATTTGAAATCACGAAATTGAGTCTCACTTCTTATCTAATTGGCTGTATTCATGATCTTGTAGTTTCAAATTAATTTTAACAAATAGTAGCATGTGTATTAAAAAAAGTGTGTATTATATAGTATATATTGCTAGCACTCCTCTCTTAACATAATCTTCAGTTGAATTGAAGGGTTTATCTATTGCATTATAAATTTATGACATCTATTGTAATGTGCCACTGTTTGCAGATATCTAAAATTACGGAGGAAGGTGCCACTCTTTTCCCACCATTCTCGTTGAAAACGTACTGGGAGTTCTCTGCCTTCAAGAATCCAACTGTGGGTGCTGAAGGTTCATGGTAGCTGACTCATTGTGAAATGAAACAGAATTTTAAATGGATACGAAATGGATTCCAATAGAACTTTTCAAGGTGTTAATGGATATGAAATGAGTCTGCCTTCTGAAGTTAAAAATACTTGATGTTGTTTTTATATTTATCTTAGTTTCCCATGGTGGTTCGAATTGATTTGTTTCATTAGAATTTCTATTTCAGTTTTCTTTCATTATGACACTCGCGATAGTTATCTTTTCCTTTTCAATTGCTTGCCTAGACACCAATGCGGTGCATATGTTTGAAATTAATCATGAAAAGATTTGTCGTTATACTTTTTTTCCCTATAAAAAACATGCGTAATTGGTTTTGGAAAACAATGCTGTCATTATGTTTTACAAATTATTGCATAAATGTTGCTTTATTTTTAAAAAATGTGTATTTTGATCCTAATCTTAATTATATCAATAAGGTCAATTATTTTTCATTATTTGCACTAAAATTCGTGATTAGGATTTTTAATTTAAAAGTTAAAATTAACGATTTAAAGAATATTTATTTTTCAACCAAATATTTATTTATTTATTCATCAGCAAATACTATAATATTAGAGGTACAAAATTTAGTCAAACTAATACATATGCAAAATGAAAATTCCTTCGCGTTCACATTATGATTTTATATTTTCTTGATATCTCTTTGACAAATCTTCCCTAAATCCCTCCACTATACCAACTTCATCCTAAAGTCTAATGTCAATACATCATATTATTTTCTCATAATTTTTTTGAAGCACTCTACACCACATGCTACTTTAATTCTTAAACATACTCCACTTTGATTTCCAGTTTTATTTTAATATCAAGCTCTTTGCCTCCTCTAAGCAACAAACCTTATCTAACTCATCTATGGTAGCCTTCTTTACCTCCCTCCATAAGAAATTTTTTAAAGGACATTTAGTCCTATAAGCAACATCTTAAAAGAAAGAGATAAAACAAAGGAAGGGAGAATAATGCCAATTAATAAGGCACACCCTACCAACAAAAGACAATTGTTTATGCTTTTTTAATGACAAATTTTGTCTAACTTTTTAGCCAAATATTGTTATATATATATATATATATATATA